GCATGTCGGCGGCGTCCAGCAGCGCCAGTGTGAGTGTGTGCGTGTTGTTGTACCTCCTGCATGAAGGGCACGAGGCGGTGGTGGTGCGCGGCGTGCAGCATGTCGGCGGCGTCCAGCAGCGCCAGTGTGAGTGTGTGCGTGTTGTTGTACCTCCTGCATGAAGGGCACGAGGCGGTGGTGGTGCGCGGCGTGCAGCATGTCGGCGGCGTCCAGCAGCGCCAGTGTGAGTGTGTGCGTGTTGTTGTACCTCCTGCATGAAGGGCACGAGGCGGTGGTGGTGCGCGGCGTGCAGCATGTCGGCGGCGTCCAGCAGCGCCAGTGTGAGTGTGTGCGTGTTGTTGTACCTCCTGCATGAAGGGCACGAGGCGGTGGTGGTGCGCGGCGTGCAGCATGTCGGCGGCGTCCAGCAGCGCCAGTGTGAGTGTGTGCGTGTTGTTGTACCTCCTGCATGAAGGGCACGAGGCGGTGGTGGTGCGCGGCGTGCAGCATGTCGGCGGCGTCCAGCAGCGCCAGTGTGAGTGTGTGCGTGTTGTTGTACCTCCTGCATGAAGGGCACGAGGCGGTGGTGGTGCGCGGCGTGCAGCATGTCGGCGGCGTCCAGCAGCGCCAGTGTGAGTGTGTGCGTGTTGTTGTACCTCCTGCATGAAGGGCACGAGGCGGTGGTGGTGCGCGGCGTGCAGCATGTCGGCGGCGTCCAGCAGCGCCAGTGTGAGTGTGTGCGTGTTGTTGTACCTCCTGCATGAAGGGCACGAGGCGGTGGTGGTGCGCGGCGTGCAGCATGTCGGCGGCGTCCAGCAGCGCCAGTGTGAGTGTGTGCGTGTTGTTGTACCTCCTGCATGAAGGGCACGAGGCGGTGGTGGTGCGCGGCGTGCAGCATGTCGGCGGCGTCCAGCAGCGCCAGTGTGAGTGTGTGCGTGTTGTTGTACCTCCTGCATGAAGGGCACGAGGCGGTGGTGGTGCGCGGCGTGCAGCATGTCGGCGGCGTCCAGCAGCGCCAGTGTGAGTGTGTGCGTGTTGTTGTACCTCCTGCATGAAGGGCACGAGGCGGTGGTGGTGCGCGGCGTGCAGCATGTCGGCGGCGTCCAGCAGCGCCAGTGTGAGTGTGTGCGTGTTGTTGTACCTCCTGCATGAAGGGCACGAGGCGGTGGTGGTGCGCGGCGTGCAGCATGTCGGCGGCGTCCAGCAGCGCCAGTGTGAGTGTGTGCGTGTTGTTGTACCTCCTGCATGAAGGGCACGAGGCGGTGGTGGTGCGCGGCGTGCAGCATGTCGGCGGCGTCCAGCAGCGCCAGTGTGAGTGTGTGCGTGTTGTTGTACCTCCTGCATGAAGGGCACGAGGCGGTGGTGGTGCGCGGCGTGCAGCATGTCGGCGGCGTCCAGCAGCGCCAGTGTGAGTGTGTGCGTGTTGTTGTACCTCCTGCATGAAGGGCACGAGGCGGTGGTGGTGCGCGGCGTGCAGCATGTCGGCGGCGTCCAGCAGCGCCAGTGTGAGTGTGTGCGTGTTGTTGTACCTCCTGCATGAAGGGCACGAGGCGGTGGTGGTGCGCGGCGTGCAGCATGTCGGCGGCGTCCAGCAGCGCCAGTGTGAGTGTGTGCGTGTTGTTGTACCTCCTGCATGAAGGGCACGAGGCGGTGGTGGTGCGCGGCGTGCAGCATGTCGGCGGCGTCCAGCAGCGCCAGTGTGAGTGTGTGCGTGTTGTTGTACCTCCTGCATGAAGGGCACGAGGCGGTGATGGTGCGCGGCGTGCAGCACGTCGGCGGCGTCCAGCAGCGCCAGTGTGAGTGTGTGCGTGTTGTTGTACCTCCTGCATGAAGGGCACGAGGCGGTGGTGGTGCGCGGCGTGCAGCATGTCGGCGGCGTCCAGCAGCGCCAGTGTGAGTGTGTGCGTGTTGTTGTACCTCCTGCATGAAGGGCACGAGGCGGTGGTGGTGCGCGGCGTGCAGCACGTCGGCGGCGTCCAGCAGCGCCAGTGTGAGTGTGTGCGTGTTGTTGTACCTCCTGCATGAAGGGCACGAGGCGGTGGTGGTGCGCGGCGTGCAGCATGTCGGCGGCGTCCAGCAGCGCCAGTGTGAGTGTGTGCGTGTTGTTGTACCTCCTGCATGAAGGGCACGAGGCGGTGGTGGTGCGCGGCGTGCAGCATGTCGGCGGCGTCCAGCAGCGCCAGTGTGAGTGTGTGCGTGTTGTTGTACCTCCTGCATGAAGGGCACGAGGCGGTGGTGGTGCGCGGCGTGCAGCATGTCGGCGGCGTCCAGCAGCGCCAGTGTGAGTGTGTGCGTGTTGTTGTACCTCCTGCATGAAGGGCACGAGGCGGTGGTGGTGCGCGGCGTGCAGCATGTCGGCGGCGTCCAGCAGCGCCAGTGTGAGTGTGTGCGTGTTGTTGTACCTCCTGCATGAAGGGCACGAGGCGGTGGTGGTGCGCGGCGTGCAGCATGTCGGCGGCGTCCAGCAGCGCCAGTGTGAGTGTGTGCGTGTTGTTGTACCTCCTGCATGAAGGGCACGAGGCGGTGGTGGTGCGCGGCGTGCAGCATGTCGGCGGCGTCCAGCAGCGCCAGTGTGAGTGTGTGCGTGTTGTTGTACCTCCTGCATGAAGGGCACGAGGCGGTGGTGGTGCGCGGCGTGCAGCATGTCGGCGGCGTCCAGCAGCGCCAGTGTGAGTGTGTGCGTGTTGTTGTACCTCCTGCATGAAGGGCACGAGGCGGTGATGGTGCGCGGCGTGCAGCACGTCGGCGGCGTCCAGCAGCGCCAGTGTGAGTGTGTGCGTGTTGTTGTACCTCCTGCATGAAGGGCACGAGGCGGTGGTGGTGCGCGGCGTGCAGCATGTCGGCGGCGTCCAGCAGCGCCAGTGTGAGTGTGTGCGTGTTGTTGTACCTCCTGCATGAAGGGCACGAGGCGGTGGTGGTGCGCGGCGTGCAGCACGTCGGCGGCGTCCAGCAGCGCCAGTGTGAGTGTGTGCGTGTTGTTGTACCTCCTGCATGAAGGGCACGAGGCGGTGGTGGTGCGCGGCGTGCAGCATGTCGGCGGCGTCCAGCAGCGCCAGTGTGAGTGTGTGCGTGTTGTTGTACCTCCTGCATGAAGGGCACGAGGCGGTGGTGGTGCGCGGCGTGCAGCATGTCGGCGGCGTCCAGCAGCGCCAGTGTGAGTGTGTGCGTGTTGTTGTACCTCCTGCATGAAGGGCACGAGGCGGTGGTGGTGCGCGGCGTGCAGCATGTCGGCGGCGTCCAGCAGCGCCAGTGTGAGTGTGTGCGTGTTGTTGTACCTCCTGCATGAAGGGCACGAGGCGGTGGTGGTGCGCGGCGTGCAGCATGTCGGCGGCGTCCAGCAGCGCCAGTGTGAGTGTGTGCGTGTTGTTGTACCTCCTGCATGAAGGGCACGAGGCGGTGGTGGTGCGCGGCGTGCAGCATGTCGGCGGCGTCCAGCAGCGCCAGTGTGAGTGTGTGCGTGTTGTTGTACCTCCTGCATGAAGGGCACGAGGCGGTGGTGGTGCGCGGCGTGCAGCATGTCGGCGGCGTCCAGCAGCGCCAGTGTGAGTGTGTGCGTGTTGTTGTACCTCCTGCATGAAGGGCACGAGGCGGTGGTGGTGCGCGGCGTGCAGCATGTCGGCGGCGTCCAGCAGCGCCAGTGTGAGTGTGTGCGTGTTGTTGTACCTCCTGCATGAAGGGCACGAGGCGGTGGTGGTGCGCGGCGTGCAGCATGTCGGCGGCGTCCAGCAGCGCCAGTGTGAGTGTGTGCGTGTTGTTGTACCTCCTGCATGAAGGGCACGAGGCGGTGGTGGTGCGCGGCGTGCAGCATGTCGGCGGCGTCCAGCAGCGCCAGTGTGAGTGTGTGCGTGTTGTTGTACCTCCTGCATGAAGGGCACGAGGCGGTGGTGGTGCGCGGCGTGCAGCATGTCGGCGGCGTCCAGCAGCGCCAGTGTGAGTGTGTGCGTGTTGTTGTACCTCCTGCATGAAGGGCACGAGGCGGTGGTGGTGCGCAGCGTGCAGCATGTCGGCGGCGTCCAGCAGCGCCAGTGTGAGTGTGTGCGTGTTGTTGTACCTCCTGCATGAAGGGCACGAGGCGGTGGTGGTGCGCGGCGTGCAGCATGTCGGCGGCGTCCAGCAGCGCCAGTGTGAGTGTGTGCGTGTTGTTGTACCTCCTGCATGAAGGGCACGAGGCGGTGGTGGTGCGCGGCGTGCAGCATGTCGGCGGCGTCCAGCAGCGCCAGTGTGAGTGTGTGCGTGTTGTTGTACCTCCTGCATGAAGGGCACGAGGCGGTGGTGGTGCGCGGCGTGCAGCATGTCGGCGGCGTCCAGCAGCGCCAGTGTGAGTGTGTGCGTGTTGTTGTACCTCCTGCATGAAGGGCACGAGGCGGTGGTGGTGCGCGGCGTGCAGCATGTCGGCGGCGTCCAGCAGCGCCAGTGTGAGTGTGTGCGTGTTGTTGTACCTCCTGCATGAAGGGCACGAGGCGGTGGTGGTGCGCGGCGTGCAGCATGTCGGCGGCGTCCAGCAGCGCCAGTGTGAGTGTGTGCGTGTTGTTGTACCTCCTGCATGAAGGGCACGAGGCGGTGGTGGTGCGCGGCGTGCAGCATGTCGGCGGCGTCCAGCAGCGCCAGTGTGAGTGTGTGCGTGTTGTTGTACCTCCTGCATGAAGGGCACGAGGCGGTGGTGGTGCGCGGCGTGCAGCATGTCGGCGGCGTCCAGCAGCGCCAGTGTGAGTGTGTGCGTGTTGTTGTACCTCCTGCATGAAGGGCACGAGGCGGTGGTGGTGCGCGGCGTGCAGCATGTCGGCGGCGTCCAGCAGCGCCAGTGTGAGTGTGTGCGTGTTGTTGTACCTCCTGCATGAAGGGCACGAGGCGGTGGTGGTGCGCGGCGTGCAGCATGTCGGCGGCGTCCAGCAGCGCCAGTGTGAGTGTGTGCGTGTTGTTGTACCTCCTGCATGAAGGGCACGAGGCGGTGGTGGTGCGCGGCGTGCAGCATGTCGGCGGCGTCCAGCAGCGCCAGTGTGAGTGTGTGCGTGTTGTTGTACCTCCTGCATGAAGGGCACGAGGCGGTGGTGGTGCGCGGCGTGCAGCATGTCGGCGGCGTCCAGCAGCGCGAGGTCGGCCGAGCCGTCGGCCAGCGCGCGCGCGCAGTGCCGCGCGCTGTGCCCGCGCCAGCACGACAGCGTCGGCGACAGCACCGCCGCCTTTAGCGCCACCTGTGTGCCAACTCCGACTCACCACGTGTCGCCACTTGCCACCACCTCCACTCAATTGTTACCAAACATTTATAACGTATAAAATGTGTGGTAACAAATGAGTATCATCATCATCATCATCAGCCTGCGGCAGTCTAGTGCTGGACATAGGCCTCTCCCAAGGCGCGCCACTTAGCCCAATCTTCCGCTACACGCATCCAGTTTCTACCAGCCATCTTGTGCAGATCGTTGCTCCATCTGGTCAGGGGGCGTCTCACACTACGTTTACTTAGACGCGGTCTCCACTCCATAATAAGTCTACTCCACCGGTTGTCACCTCTGCTACAGACGTGGCCAGCCCATTGCCACTTCAGTTTATAAACACGGAAGGCTATGTCAGTAATCTTGGTTCTCCGGCGGATTTCTTCATTTCAAATTTTATCTACCAGAAAAACTCCGAGCATAGCTTTTTCCATCATTTGCTGAGCGGCTTTGAGCTTCTGGAGTAGCGGTTTCGTCAGTGTCCACGTTTCGGAACCGTAAGTGGTACGCAGGACGCACTGTTTGAAAACTTTTGTCTTCAGACTTTGCGGTATGGGCGACGAGACAACCCGACGAAGCTTTCTAAATGCTGCCCAGCCTAACAGAATCCTCCGATCGGCTTCCTTCTCGATGTTATTCTTGCCTAGTTGCAATATCTGCCCGAGGTAGGTATATTCCTGGACAACTTCGAGAATTTCACCATCAACAGTAATTGGAACTGGCATGACGTGATCGTTGAACATAACTTATTCATACACAGACCAACACGTCGAGAGGATTCATTCAGTCTGTTCAGCATGTCCTGAAGTTCTTGCAACGATTCTGCCATGACGACGATATCATCAGCAAAGCGTAAGTGTGGGATCTACTCACCGTTTATGTTAATGCCGCGTCCTTTCCAGTCTAGCGTCTTAAAAACATCCTCCAGTGCATTTGTAAACAGTTTAGGGGATATAACATCCCTCTGTCTCACTACACGATACAACTGGATTGGTTTTGTTTGACTACCTTGTACTTGGACGAACATCGTACTGGTGTTGTAAAGACATCTCAGCACTTCGATGTACCGCCAGTCAATTTGGCACTGCTCCAAAGAATCCAGAACAGCCCAAGTTTCGATGGAGTCAAAGGCTTTCTCATAGTCCACAAATGCAAGACACAGGGGCTGATTATACTCTGTTGTTTTCTGCATTATTTGCTGCACTGTGTGAATGTGATCTATAAGTGCCAAATCCTCCTCGAAACCCGGCCTGTTCCGCAGGCTGAAAGTCGTCGTCTTTCGTCGCGAGTCGATTTGCGATGACTCGAAAACAACTTATAGACGTGGCTCAGAAGCGAGATGGGTCGATAATTTTTCAGCGTAGTCTTGTCACCTTTCTTGTGAAACAAGACTGTAATGCTTTTGCTCCACGCCTTTGGAGTTCTCCCATCTCATAAGATGCCGTTAAAAACTTGGCAGAGCTCTTTTAGCAAGGGTAGACTCCCAGCCTTTAAGAGCTCTATTGTAACTTCATCTTTTCCAGGGGCTTTTTCATTTTTAAGTTGGCCGAGGGCCAGCTCAATCTCCTTAAGGCAGATGTCTGATGTCTGTCGGTATAGTGGCGGGTGAGCGTGGCTCTGGGATCACGCATTTAGGATCAGGTCGTGGCTTATGAGATGCATATAATTTGGCATAATAGTCTTCGATCTCAGAGAGAACCTCAGGCTTTAACGTGGGGACTTTGCCATCATGCGTCTACAGTCTTGCGATGTGACTTCTCCCAAGCTCCTGAGAAAAGACTTTGGATCCCTTGTTTCGCTCTATTGCTGCTTGTATCGCAATCGCAGGTCCCGCCTCACAGCTTTCCTCACAAGCTTGGTTAATGTCACCTGTTCCGATGGCGTTACAGTTGTTAACTCACACCTTCTTTTCATAAGCTGAAGTGTCTCATCTGAGAACTTCGACTTTCGGCCCATATGTTGCTTGCCACAAAACCTGTTGCCCTCATCCCTTAAGATCTTGGGCATCGAATCGGTTTTTAAGTTCAAGTTGAAAGCGTTGGGAGCCAGTCGCGGTTTGAAGCAGATTTGGTCGAAGGGTGGACTTCATCAATCGGGACCTTTCAAGCGTAAAATCGATATTCAGAGTGTCTCGGACAAGGCGGTGATCGCTTCCGGTATTGAATTTGCTGATCACTGAGACATCTCTGAATATGTGACTTTTGTCAGTCGTGATGAAGTCAATCTCGTTTTTTATTTTGTTATCGGGACTGCGCCAGGTCCACTTCATTTGGAGCTTCTTCTCGAAAAACGAATTCATCAGATTTAGCCCGTCTTTCTCGAGGAAGTTGACCAGCATTTGTCCCCTGTTATTTCTGCTTTCAAAACCGTGAGGTCCAAAAATCGACGACGCTCGTGTGTTTACCCACTTTGGCATTAAAATCCCACATAACAACATTGTAGTAGGCTTTAGTGGTGTTATGTAAGGTCGTATAAATGTCTTCATATACTGTTTCAACTTTATCATCCGAATGTGCCAAGATCGGGGCATAAACTTGTACGATCTTCAGAGAGTATCTTTTTGATAACTTCAGCACAAGGTATGCTACCCGTGTCGACACACTGGAGAATTCTACAATGTTGTTAGTGAGGATCCTGTGAACGGGGAAACCTACTCCGCCTTGGGAAAGGCCGTCTCCCTCCCGAAAGTAGAGCAGATGGCCGGATTGCAGAGTAAGTGTGTCCTCCCCCTCTCGGACTTCAATTCTCCCTTCCAGTTCGTAAATGTTGCCGTCTTGCCTCAGAGTAAGTCTATTATACGTCGCCAAGTCCAGTTTTTGGAGGTAACCTGTCCTCTCCCGGGGATTATTTGCACCCCCTGCCCCACCGTTGCCATGACCGCCACCACGGTCAGGAATAATGGAGCGACCGGGAACTGGGAGTCGTGTTTTTGTGGTGCTGTTCATGGGAGGATTTGCCCTCAACCGCCACGCTGGGCAAGCGGGTTGGCGATCGCAGTGTCAGACACATCGCACCTGTAATGCTGCTGCCTATGACAGGCCTGGGCATTTTTGGTCTGACGATGAATGGAATGGTTATGCCGCCATCCGTCGGAAACCTAAAGGTCTCCTTTTTTAAAATGGCATTTTCCTCTGTCGGCTCATACGACATCCATGAGATGAGAGGGAGTGATAGTATTCTAGGCCGCTATCACACAGCAACAAATGAGTATACATGTATAAAATGACGTTAGAATACATTGTACAAAATTAAGCGAGACCGTTTATGTATAGTCTGTTAACTAAGATAGTGTCGGTATACTTATTATTTTGCTTTTCTTATATTAATTTTACTGTGTTTATTAAATAAATGTTTTTCTATTCTAAAAATAAAAAATAATACTCTTATGATAATTGTAATAAAATACGAAAATAATAGTAGACACAAATTAGATAGTAAAGAACCTTTCACTAAGACACGTCGTTTTAAATTGCCAAATTCTCCTGCGTGTGTACGCCACACGCGGTGACCTTTGACTTCGCAACACGCCTTTCACAAAATGCGGCACATGCCAAAGCGGAGCGACACAGACGACCGTATCTAAGCGAGCAGACTATACACGCTATCAGCCTTGCGTCATTCGTGAACGAAATAAATCCCGCTTGTATTTGCAAAATCATAAGTTTTAAAGTGAAAATTCGTGTTTAATAGACGGAATTAATTATAACCTAAATAAAATAGAATAAAATAATTTTTATTCAATATAGATTATTACATAATATTTATTGAAATTTTTTTTTTATTTACCACTGGTTCGAAAAATACTTCTGTCTCTGGAATAGAGAGAGTACCTGTGTTTGCGCATTCATTGCGAACTATAATCCTGTCCGATCCTCCGTTGAGACTGACCGCGGTGACCGAAAGTCAGTCAATAGGACATTATAACTTTACATCATAATTGAGCTGCTTTGATACTTTGAAATTTTAGGTGGGCAACTACATCCTAAATTAAAAAGTCACAACAACATTATATACTAATATGTATTTTTTTTTATAACACAAGCCTGAGAAGCGAGTACACAGTCCACCTGATGGTAAGTGGCTGCTATGGCCCATAGACATCTACATCGATTCTCGTTTGCGAATCAAAATGCAGATGCGTTGTCAGCCGTGAGGACTGTGACTTACCATACGAAATACAGCAGCATTAAGCTGCTATTTTACATTGGTATTCTCTGAGAACGTGATCCTTCCCCGATCGGGCTGACCCATTCGTGCTAGAACTATACAATTCATATAGCTGCAGCATGGCTCTACCATGTATAAAAATACTAAAATATTATATACTAATTATTATATTACTGTGGAAAACAAATATCAGTTTAGTGGATGAAATGTGAGATTAATTAGTAATGGGGTATTATGTAACATGTAATGGCAACTTACTCTCATTTTAACACATTTATCCATCTCTGGGTCACTGGTAACACATAATATAGCTCTTTTTATAGGACAGTCTCTGACACCTAGCACAGCTTTCTCTGCTTGGTCACCAACATACTTATTGTTGAGGATGTGTTTCGCCGATTGTTCATCTTCCTTTAGCATGCGGAAGTTTATTGTGGCATCCTAAAAAAAAAAGGAAATATATAATTCCAGACGTGGTCCTTCACTGCTGGCCGTATGAGGAAGCTCAAGGTCGCTCAGCGAGCTATGGAGAGGGCTATGCTCGGAGTTTCTCTGCGTGATAAACTCAGAAATGAGGATATCCGCAGTAGAACTAGAGTGACCGACATAGCCCAACGGATTAGTAAGCTGAAGTGGCAATGGGCCGGCCATATAGCTCGAAGAACCGACAACCGATGGGGAAGAAAGGTTCTCGAGTGGCAGCCTCGTACCGGCAGGCGAAGTGTAGGGCGTCCCCCCACTAGATGGAGTGACGACCTGGTAAGATATGCAGGAAGTCGATGGATGCAGGTGGCTCAGGACCGTGCTTTGTGGCATTCTTTGGGGGAGGCCTATGTTCAGCAGTGGACTTGTGAAGGGCTGTAATGATGATGAATGATGATGATAATTCCAGCTGGACAGGCAAACATTGTTCTGCCCTTTCTCCTATAAAAAATCCATAAGTGTCTATAGACCACAGCATCCATTTGTCATTACGTGGATTGTGTACTTAATTCTCACCATAATTTCTATAAGTATATACAGTCTGTACGGATAAAGAATGGGATTAGAAATGGCGGCTCATCATGCCCGTACCGTCAACATGCACAGTACCAATAGCGAAAGCCCGCATATAATGGTAAGGTAGACTGAGGCAAGTGTGACAGTGGGGCAAGTGTGACAAATGCAAATTATGCGGCATAAATACGTTTTTTTGGTTAAATGACATTTCTTGAACAACGCAGGAACTTTTATGCTATTGACTATACCGACAGTTAAGTAAACATCTTCAACTATTTTATCGACAGACGTCATTTTTTTAAACTACTCAAACTGGCGAAAGCCCGCGCAATTTTAAGAGGCAAAGTTTTTAAGTGTTTCGATACGTCATTAAGTTATTTTAAACAAGATACAAGGTGAGTGATAAAGAATAATATTGGTACTTATAGTGTAATGTTTATGAGACCTGAAATCCACTATTCCTTAAAATACGGATACAGTTACACTTACCTCACTTAATATCTAATATCGGGGTAAGTGTGACAGTGGGACGCTCACCCTTACACACAGTTCTTTTATTTATTTCAACTAGGCTACACCGGCAGACCGAATATACACTAAATGATCAAAACGTAAACAAAACTGTGTTGTGAGCTGTCACAACACGCTCGGCGTGGCCGCACGATGGCTCTTACGCATGCATGAGAGTGCCGAGTGATGACGACATAGCCCAAATACTTCCGAATGGCTATTAATAAAATGATCGGCATTGGCGACTAGTCGGCCGACTGATCGACAATTTGAAAACCGATTAGTCGGCTAGTCGGCTAGTCGGCAAATACCATAGTAGGCCCATCTCTAGTAAAACCCTATAATTTCCAGGATTTCTTGAGCAGATAAAACTCTCGTTCGCCGCGCTGACTGACCCAATGCTAGTGGGTGTAATTCACGGGTCCTCAAAACATTTTATTTTTTTATTTGACGATTGGGTTTCTTCTAAATGTTCTACTTCACTGTCATGCACGTGATTAATTACAGTTACAGTTACAATTATTCGGCTTTACTCGTGAAAATCGATGTCAATTTAAGAAATGCTTAGAATTGCTCTCTCCTTATTCATTAAATGACAATAGAAAGAGACATGTATAGGGATAAGTAATATTTAATTTAAGAAAGCGATAATCAAAGATTTTAAGTAAGGCCATTTAACTTTTAATTCATTTACGATCGATATCTATATATCTAGATATCTATCCGTAAACCACGTAACTCATTCAACAAGGGGGGAGGAGTATGCTCTCATGTTATGTGCGGTTACGTGGGTAGAGAGTCGGTGCGACCCGGTGTTACGTAAAGCAGATAAATATATTTTTTTTTCATATATATAGCATTAATATAAAAAAAAAATACAAAAAAATACCAGAAGACAAATTTGAAGAGACTATCACAAGTGTCATTCAATCAACGACAATATGTAATTAAAAGAAAAGGTTCTAAGATTCTTGGGAGGTTTAAAAAAGTACGGAAGATGCGTTACGTGTTTTATGGATGATCCCGAACTCTGTTTGCTCACTTACTGTATTAATTATATATATATATATATATCATCATCATCATTACAGCCCTTCACAAGTCCACTGCTGAACATAGGCCTCCCCCAAAGAATGCCACAAAGCACGGTCCTGAGCCACCTGCATCCATAGACTTCCTGCATGTCTTACCAGGTCGTCACTCCATCTCGTGGGGGGACGCCCTACACTTCGCCTACCGGTACGAGGCTGCCACTCGAGAACCTTTCTTCCCCATCGGTTGTCGGTTCTTCGAGCTATATGGCCGGCCCACTGCCACTTCAGCTTACTAATCCGTTGGGCTATGTCGGTCACTCTGGTTCTACTGCGGATATCCTCATTCCTAAGTTTATCACGCAGAGAAACTCCGAGCATAGCCCTCTCCATAGCTCGCTGAGCGACCTTGAGCTTCCTCATACGGCCAGCAGTGAAGGACCACGTCTCAGTTCCATAAGTCATCACTGGCAACACGCACTGGTTGTACAATTTCGTTTTCAGGTTTTGAGGTATGTCTGACGAGAAGATGTGTCGTAGCTTCCCGAACGCTGCCCAGCCGAGTTGAATCCGTCGATTGACCTCTCGGTCGAAGTTGGACTTACCTAGTCGGACTATTTGTCCCAGGTAAACATAATCGTCAACAACTTCGAGCTTAGTGCTCCCAACAACTACCGGCATAGGTGTGACATGGACATTGAACATGATCTTTGTTTTGTCCATGTTCATCTTAAGACCTATCCGTTGGGAAACACTATCGAGGTCATTGAGCATAGTGCTCAGGTCCTCCAGCGATTCTGCCATAAGGACTATATCGTCGGCAAATCGAAGGTGAGTGATGTACTCGCCATTGATGTTGATACCGTATCCTTTCCAGTCCAGAAGCTTGAAAACGTCTTCCAATGCAGCGGTGAAGAGTTTCGGGGATATGACGTCACCCTGTCTTACACCTCTCTGCAATTGGATAGGTTTCGTACTCTGGTTCTGTACTCGGATAGCCATCGTAGCCCTACTGTACAAGCACTCAACACTTCGATATACCGATAGTCAACTTGGCACCGCTGAAGGGACTGCAGCATCGCCCAAATTTCGACGGAATCAAAGGCTTTCTCATAGTCCACATACGCCAGACATAGTGGCAAATTGTACTCTTCAGGCTTCTGTACAATTTGCCGAAGGGTATGTATGTGGTCTATGGTGCTAAAGCCCTTTCGGAAACCAGCTTGTTCGGGAGGCTGGAAGTCGTCAAGTCTGCGCGCGAGACGATTCGTAATGACTCTCGAAAACAGCACGTAGACGCGGCTCAGAAGGGAAATCGGTCTGTAGTTCTTCAAGAGAGCGTTGTCACCTTTCTTGAAGAACAAGACCACCGCACTTCTGCTCCACGCCTCCGGTGTAGTGCCACCATGGAGGACGGAATTAAAGAGCCTCTGAAGGACTTCAAGTACCGGTCTTCCACCCGCTTTCAGAAGCTCCGCTGTAATTCCATCCTCGCCTGGGGCCTTACCGTTTTTAAGGTGCTGGAGAGCCATTCTAATCTCGCTCAGACTGACGTCCGGGATATCTTCGGAATAGTGTCGGATGAGACTCGCTCTTGGATCGTTACTCACACTTGCGTGTGGCTCCAACGATGACGTGTACAGCTGCCCATAGAACCTCTCAATCTCACTCAAAATCTCAGGTGTCCCGGAAACGATGCTGCCACATTCTGTCTTCAGCTTTGACAGGTGGCTCTTTCTGGCAGACAGATCTCTGGCAAAGACTTTGGAGCCTTGGTTCCGCTCGATCGCTTCTTCAATACGAGCTGTATTGAAGTTGCGTAAGTCCCGCCGCATGCATTTGGAGATCTGTCTGTTCAGATGCCTGTATGCTGTCAAGTCTGTTGAAGAATGTAGCTTCATCTCCCGTCTAACAGCCATGAGATTAAGAGTGTGATCGGAGAGTTTTTGTGTTCTTCTGCGGCGGCTCTTGCAGAACTTAGCTCCGACCGCATGGACAGTTTCCACGAGCTTGTCATTCATATCGTCCACTTCATTGCAGTCTTCTAGGCACTGAAAACGGTTTTGTAACTCGAGCTGAAAGGTTTCGGGACTTTGGAACAGAGCACGAGGGGGACGGAGCGTTGACTTCATTAGACGAGACCTCTCCAACTTAACGTTTAGGTTCAGTGTGCCTCTAACCATTCGGTGATCGCTACCAGTTTTCACCCTCGCGATCACGGAGACATCACTGAACAGTTGTCGTCTGGTCGTCATAATGAAGTCAATCTCATTTTTTGTCGAACCGTCGGGGCTCGACAAGGTCCACTTCCTGTGGGGCCGCTTCTGGAAGAAAGAGTTCATCATAAAGAGTCCCTCTTTCTCCATGAAGTCGGCCAGCTGCTGGCCCCTTGGGTTCCGTTGCCCTATTCCAAATTTCCCTACTTTCAGCTCACCGTTCTCTCTTGTGCCTAGTTTTGCATTGAAGTCTCTCATTAACACCGTATATTGGGTTTTGGAGGAATGCATGGCTCTAGAGATATCCTCATACATTTCCTCCACCTCCCCATCGGGGTGTGCCGAGGTTGGTGCGTAAACCTGTATGACCTTCAGCGAATACCGTTTGGTGATTCTGAGTATAAGGTACGCAACCCTCGTCGACACACTCCCGATCTTTACAACGTTGTTAACGAGAGACTTGTGGACGATAAATCCGACACCTCCTTGGGACAGATGGTCGCCCTCCCGGTGATAGAGCAAGTTGCCGGATTCGAGGATTACCGTGTCCTCCCCCTCTCTTCGGACTTCGGATAATCCTATAATATGCCAGCGCAACTTGTCTATCTCTTCTTCCAGCTCCACGATCTTCTCCTCAGTCCTCAGGGTGCGTGCGTTGTACGTTGCCAGGTCGAGTCGTCTAAGGTGGCAACCGAACCTCCACCGGAGATTCTTAGCACCCCCTGCCCCGCCGTTACCATGGTCGCCACCGTAGCCAGGAATAGCGGGGCCGCCGGGGACTGGGGGCCGTCTCTTTGTTACATTCATAGGGGGGTATTTGCCATAGTTGCAGTTTTTTTATTATAATTTTGGCTATTATCAGGAAGATGCTGCTGCCCATCTCCTGCCTGTTTCCCTTTGTCGCCTTTTACGACACCCACGGGAGGATATGGGGTAGTGGTATTCTTGACCGCCACTACACGGTAGTAATATAATATAATATACATATATATATATATATATATATATATATATATATATATATATATATATATATATATATGTATATTATATTGAGCGCCACGGTTTATTTTTATTTTGTGCAAGTTTAGGAAGCCTCGTAACACGCCTTAGAACTTTAGGTAGTACACGGGACAGCGAATAGGTTAATAATACAAGGACTTAATGGCATATAATTAACTGTTTCAAATGTCAATCTTATGTGCACACTATGCGATTGACAAATGGCGGTATATATATCTATTCGAAAACGTAGAACAAAATGTCACAGATATATGGCGGGTGCTTACCGTAACTAGTATGGGTAAAACTTTCAAAATGTGACATTACAAAAACAGGTTACCTGTAGCAACAAATCAGTTGTTTCGTTAGATCTAAATAGCTGGAAAGGCAGCTCAATAGGCTGCCCAGAGTAGTCAAGTCTTCGCTGGAATGGTGCAAGAGTGCTAAATCTGAAATAAGATAAAATAAAATAAATTGCTATTAAACTCTTATTTCCCGTAGTACATTTTACAGCTGTAGCACGAAAAGGTCAACTCAACTTGGGAAGGACCATGCTAATGCTTCACCCATAATGTTCCTGTATTTCGTATGATGAGTGATGCGAACCTTCTTAATGGTAGCAAGGCATTCCATCTTAGTCCTTAGGGGTGACAACACATCTAAATAAAAATATTCATGATCAAGGACAAATAGGTGTCAATGGACCACTGCATTCACTTACATCAGGTAGACTGTGTGCTTGTTAGTCACCAATATTGCTATAAAAACAATTGTGTAGACGAAGTCATGTAAAGGTAAACATACTCGTCAACAACTTCGAGCTTAGTGCTCCCAACAACTACCGGCATAGGTGTGACATGGACGTAAAACATGATTTTTGTTTTGTCCATGTTCATCTTAAGAGCTATCCGTTGGGTGACACTATTGAGATCATTGAGCATAGTGCTTAGGTCCTCCAGCGATTCTGCCATAAAGATTATATCGTATATGAAGAGTTTCGGGGATATTACACCCTGTATTACATCTCTCTGCAGTTGAATGGGTTTCGTACTCTGGTTCTGTACTCGGATAACCATCAACTTGGCATGCAGACTTGACTGTAGCGCCGCCCAAATTTCGACGGAATCAAAGACTTTCTCATAGTCCACATAAGCCAAACATAGTGGTAAATTGTACTTTTCTGTCTTCTATACAATTTGCTGAAGGGTATGTATGTGGTCTATGGTGCTTAAGCCTTTTCGGAAACCAACAGGCTGGAAGTCATCGAGTCTGCATGCGAGACGATTCGTAATGACCCTCGAAAACAGGACGTAGACGCGGCTAAGAAGGGAAATCGGTCTGTAGTTCTTCATGAGAGCGTTGTCGCCTTTCATGAAGAAAAAGACCACCGCACTTCTGTTCCACGCCTCCGGAGTAGTGCCACCATGGAGGACGGAATTAATGAGCTTCTGAAGGACTTCAAGTACCGGTTTTCCACCCGCTTTCAGAAGCTACGCTGTACGCCGTTTGTAAGGTGCTGGAGAGCCATTCTAATCTCGCTCAGACTGTCTGGAATATCATCGGAATAGTGTCGGTTAAAACTTGCTCTTGGATCGTTACTCATACTTGCGTGAGTAACGAATCCACCAACGATGACGTGTACAGCTGCCCATAGAACCTCTCAATCAAAATTTCAGGTGTCTCGGAAACGATGCTGCCACATTCGAACTTCAGCTTCAAAAGTTGACTCATTCTGGCAGACAGATCTCTGGCAAAGATTTTGAGCCCTGGTTTCGCTCGATCGCTTCTTCAAAATGAGCTGTATTGAAGTTGTGCAAGTCCCGCCGTGTGCATTTGGAGATCCGTTTGTTCAGTTGGCTGTATGCTGTCAAATCTACTGTAGACTGCAGCTTAATTTCCCGTATAACAGCTATGAGATTAAGAGTGTGATAGTAGAGTTTTTGTGTTCTTCTGTGGCGGGTCTGGCAAGACTTAGCTCCGATGGCTTGGACAGTTTCTACGAGCTTGTCATTCATATTATCCACTTCATTGCAATCTTCCAGGCACTGAAAACTGTTTCGTAACTCGAGCTGAAAGGTTTCAGGGTTGTGGATTACGAGCACGAGAGGGATGGAGCGTTGACTACATTAGACAACACCTCTCCATCTTAACGTTTATGTTCAGTGTGCATCTACCCATTCGGTGATCGCTACCAGTTTTCACCCTCGCGATTACTGAGACATGAACAGTTGCCGTCTAGTCATCATAATGAAGTCAATCTCATTTTTGTCGAATCGTCGGGGCTCGACCAGGTCCACTTCCTGTAGGGCCGCTTCTGAAAGAAAGAGTTCATCATAAAGACTCCCTCTTTCTCCATGAAGTCGACCAGCTGCTGGCCCCTTGGGATCCGTTGCCTTAATCCGAAATTCCCTACTTTCAGCTCACCGCTTTCTCTTGTGCTCAGTTTTGCGTTGTTACCCTTATTCTGCCAAAAAAAAATTTGTCAAAAAGGTACTGGAAATGAGGCATTCTATCTCAGTCATTAGGCGTGACAACTCATCTGCATTTTTTTTCTTAATTGAGGATAAATGTAGATGTATATGGCTCACAGCATCCACTTACCATCAGGTGGACTGTGTGCTCGTTTGTCTTCCTTAGTCTATAAAAAAAAGATGCCACTTCACAGTATAATTACTACTTTTTACTCACCTATTAGAGTCATCTTGCTTGTCGAACTTGAACCTGTCTCTTCTATACGCGTCGAATGTATCGCGTTCAGTAGATGAGAACGCATTGCCATACTGATCGCGATTTTGGTGCCCGAAAGTATTATTTGGATTTTTGTTAGAAGGGTTAGGTTCGCCATATAATTGCACCATTTTCTGGAGAAGGTTTTGGTAACTGGAAAGGAATAAATTTGTTAAATTTATTAGTAATAATGGGTTTTCTATTTTCGTTTCAATTAAAATTCGAAAGTATTTATGAATGGCGGACTACTCAAGATTAAACAAATTGAAAATAGTAATACAATATAGGTTAATTCAGAATTGGTTGATGAGTATAAATAAAATAAATTTTATGTATACATAAAACATTATGTATAGTATACATACTTCATTACTATTATAATTTTTTTGTCAGTAAAGCAGTTGAAGCAACTGATCTGTGCAGCCCATTATTTCATTTTTTTTCAAAACTATTTATGTCCTTTGTTGAGATCTCTTTTAACCACCGTGATGCTTAGGAAGTGTTTGTGAGGGTTATTGTTTGAAACATGGGATTTTATTTAAATTTGATAGCTTGTCAAGCGGCGATCATGTGAGTTTAGATTTATACAGTCCAGTTGTGACGATCATTAAAATACATAATACTTGAGTGTAGAGAGTGAGTGAGTGTGTGTGAGTTTCTATAGTATATTACCGTTTACGTTCGTCTTGGGTGGCAGCACTACTAGTGACGATGGCATCGGCCGGAATTCGGCCCCAATTGCATTTCTCCCATTCAGTCACAGGAGCGCGTGAACCATCGCGACATATTAATTCAAAACTGTCTTCACTTACCCCACCTATGAAAAAAAAATTGTTTCTTACTATACACATGTTTGTAGTTAGCACAAAGTTATATTAATTACTAGCGAACCGTCGCAGTTTTATCTGGCTGGTATTTATTAATATAGCCTTATTAAGATTTCAGATAATAATTAAAGAACATTTAGTTAGTAAATTTTTCGATTTCTCGACGAAAATAAATTGTTCAAGTTTTCGTCCACAGAGAATGCGCGGCGACTAGGGCCTGTTGCGGGCGCGACGGCGGGGTCGTGCAGCGGCCACAGCGACGAGCTTTGTTGAAGTGCTTAGACCGTATTTCAGATGTTGGAAACCATGCCAATCTTTCTACTACCCGTAGTGGGGCCACGACGCGCGGATAGGAACGTTTGAAAACTACGCGCACTATCTCAATCATGCCCGTTGCGCTAGGCGCCCGCCTTAGTCACTACACTATAGACGCTAACGGCGGTTTCATATGTTTGATACTTCGCGCGCGCAACTGCGCTAGGCTCGCACTGTGGACCAGGTCTTAGATTATCTTTAAACTGTGATAAAAGGCAGTTTTATCGATATTACAGACAGACAATTTAATTTTATTTATTTGTATGTATAGAGTAATATCTGATACCTGATCGCTTTGCTGGGCATACAATAATATTTTATTGCGGAACCTATTGCGAATTTATTATATGCGAAGACTATCGTAAAATCCGTTCTTATTAAGCGCCTACATTACGAAATGAGTAACTATACTGAATTTCAAGTCAATCGGGTGTATAGTTTTAGAGATCTTGTGATGAGTCAGTTGGTCAGTGGTGTTTCTCTTATGTATATATGATATAGCGTTGATCTAAATAAACCTTTTTAATCTCTTCAAGCTATTAGTAAAAGCCCTTACGACACATCATACCAGACGATATGAGGTAGTGGATTCTCTTTTGCTGCCACTACACGCTACTAAGTAATTCAATACCACTTACCTAATATTTTGTGTGACAACAATGCATGCTGTATTGTTGTGTCTCTTACAAAGGCGATATCACCGGTGCCGTTTGCTACAAGACACTTGAGTGCACCTTCATACCCAGCATATGGGTCTGCTAATGTACACCGTATGCCTGGTCCACCAGCGCAGAGCCTGCATAATCTGAAAAATGTAAAAATTATCTCAGTTAATTGTTAGTTTTGAATTTTATTAAATCATACAAATTAAGGCTGTTACTCAGCAAAATCAACGTCAATTTAAGTAATGCTCAAAGTAGCTCCCTCTCATTTGACTAAATGACAATAGAAAGCAACAGGTATGTAGATAATTAATGCTTAATAAAAATGTATTAATGATAGCATTTTAAATGCTATTTTGTAATACATATTTGCTGTTAAAACATTGAGTTGTTTGGTCTATAATTAACTGCAACAGGAAATTTACTAATAAAACTATTTTACACAAAAAACGCTGAAGTTCAAACTCGAGTAATCAGAAAAAACAAAAACCAGTCATGTGAAGTAAAAGCAAAATACTAAGAGTATGTAACGTAAGTAATGGTTTTTAGTAAAAACAAGTATAACTGTCATTAAGAACTTCGCTGGACAATATGACTTTTTCGGGCGTAGTCAACACGACTACGACAGCGTTTTCAGGAACATCTGTCAATAACGCCGCAAAGTGATCATTATTTTTATCATTTGTATTGACACAAATATGCTAAAAAATGCATGTGGATGGGTATGTGTCATACTTTCATCTCATATACTCATATCTAGATATAGAGGAATATCTGATATCTGAGTAATAATAGACAAGTAAAGAGAAGACCCTTATTGTAAATCTTTCTACAGAGGGAGATATCTCCATCAAGCTGTATATGGACTTAACAAAGACATAATATTATTTCCACAGAGATGAGAGCTACCACAAAAATTATTGAAGTAATTGACAACAACAATTGGTAATATATTCTTACTTATCAGGATTGTCGCCTATGGGATTGTAAATATCTTTCAATGAGTTTGGTGCACAGGAATCTCCGAAATATTCCACAGCCGATTTTACATGATTATTGCAGTCTGTGATTTTCAACCCGCCTTCTTTCATTAACTGGAAACAAAATTGTCTGTTACATTTCCAACACTATGAAACCTTTCTTAAACTATTGTGACATTCAAAGTAATTCAAGAGTCAGATGATATTCAAATATCATCCAAATCTAAAGGTAAAGCAACATTTCTTGTAAGTATTCAATCTTATAAGTACTTTAATATAAACTACATTAAAAAGTATATTCGTGATAGAGCCATGCTGCAGCTATATTTATAGTATAATTGTAGCACAAATGGGTCAGCTTAACCAGTGAAAGACGGTCTTACAGAATACCAGCGTAAAATAGCAGCTCAACGGTGCTGTATTTTATATGGTGAGTATAGAGGATCGGTGACAATTTTATTATTATTACTTAACAGGCCAGCAGTTGAAACAACTGACATAAGCCCGTATACTATTTTCAAATGTGTAATTATTCTATTTTAGTTGTTTATCTAATCTGTTCTTCAATTGGTTAATAGTTTGTGTAGATATCAATTCTGATGGCAGCTCGTTCCATGCTTAATCCACTCTTTGGCTAAAAAAGTACTTGTGTGAGTTATTATGCGACACAGCTTTAGTTAATTTGAAGTGATGTCCCTGAAGATGTGATGTTTTTGCGTACTGGAATAAATCATTGTCAAAATTTTCTAGATCGTAGTGTCCATGTATAATTTTATGTTTCGATTTTACTTTTTACTCTGAAAGATCGCAGAGAATGAGGAGACTTGTCCTCGTTCTCTGCGATCTTTCACAGTCGTTAGTTTAAGTTTATTCAGTCTTTTCTCATATGGTATGTTTCTCAATGCTCTAGGAACTTTTGAAAATCTGTGTTGAACCTTCTCCAGTAACTCAATATCCTTTTTGAAACAGGGGCTCCAGATTTGGAATGCATTTTCCAAAATAGATCGAATGTATGTTTTATGTATTTTAGCATCATTTCTGGTGTTAGATGCTCGAAGACTTTTCTAATAAGATAAATAAAACTATTTGCTTTTTTAGTTATCACTGTAATGTGATGTTCTCATTTTAGATCGTTACTTATATTCACGCCTAAATCTTTTTGTACTTTAACTTCTTCCAGGGGTATATCATCGATTTTATACATGAAACGAGGGTTTCGGTTTCTTATATAGAGGACTGTGCATTTACTTGTATTTAATTTAATAAGCCACTTTTTTGATCAATCTGATATTTTAATTAGATCTGCTTGAAGGAGATTTATGACTTTTGATGAATATCTAACTTATCAAAATGTCAAAAGTCTGGTGTTTATAAACTTGTTTGTGACGAGCCGATGCCGAGCCGTTTACGTGGATCAGAATGGTCGCAACTTCGAAACACGTTATAAAGAGCATTTAGCCGCGTACAGAAATTGTAACCCCGATAAATCACATTTTGCTAAACATCTCTTAGACACTGGACACAGCCTATCCAATGACCACTCCTTTAAAGTCTTACATACTTGTTATAAAGGGCTACGACTCTGTGTGCTGGAAAAGTTAGGAAATATTAAAAATAATAACGGTAATGTTGCACTGCTGAATGAACAAACAAATGTTTCCAACTCGCCTCTCTTAAACATGTTTAAGCCTGCTCCTTGATGATATATAGCCTCGCAACATGGTCGTTTGTCACCCTCACGCTCACGGTGCGGTGGTCAGCATTTGGTTGCGTGGTTGTAGGGTAGGCGGACGTTTCGCAGTAGTTTGTTGTTAATTTCACAGCGCTGACTTTGCTTTGAGGTTAAGTGAGAGATACAAGTGTCGTAGTTTTTTTCGCTTAAATTTATTGTTACATTAAGTGTTGTTGAGTCACTATAGTAATTTTTTTTTGTATTGGTGGTGGTTTTAACATCTGTAGATTAGTGTTTTTAATTGTGCCGTTTTTATGTAAATTTTAGTTATAGAAATATAATGGAGGACGAACCTCTCGATCCCGAAAGGGTTCACAATGACTCCTTTACTTTACCCGTTGATAATGTAGAATCTATTAACCGTAAACGCGCCCAAATAAGTAATGGGTCTGCCCATCCACAAAAAATAGTTATTACTGATCCAAACCAACAGTTTTCTTCAATACAATCCTCATATACCCATCCTGATTTTATTAATAAGAAAGTAAAGTACTCTCAAGATGCCTTTTCTAGTTCACGTAAGTAAAACGTCAAATGATCAAGTGTCCGGAGTAACTCTCAAACCAATTAAATTTGGTCACTTTCTGTATCATAATAACATTAAAAATATAGTTCGTGACGGCGTCAAAAAAGTTGGACGAAACAGGATATCAGTTGAGTTTAAAACGGCAGCGGATGCCAACACTTTTATTGATCACCCAGCTCTTCAGACTTCTAAATATGAAACAACTATCCCTTCATATAATATCACTCGTATCGGGCTAGTCAGACAAGTTCCTATAGAGTGGACATTACAAGAATTAATATCAGCTATAGAAATTACCTCTGGATATGGTACTATAATTAAAGCTCGCCGACTCAATAGACGATCAGTGAGTGACAGCAATAACGTTTCATGGATTCCAACTCAAACAGTAGTTCTAACTTTTTCTGGACAAAAACTTCCACCACATATTTACTGTTTTTACACCTCTATGCCAGTAGAAAAATATGTTTTGCTACTCATTCAGTGTCATAAATGTTGCAGATTTGGCCATGTTACTTCTCAGTGCCGATCATCCTCTCGCTGCTTTATATGTGCACAGAATCATGAAGGTTTATCATGTACTAGGCAAACTCCTACTTGTATATTCTGCTCAGGACCCCACACAACAAAAGACCGTACCTGCCCTGAACATCTAAGGCAAAAATCTATTAAACTAGTTATGTCACAAGAAAATATATCATATTTAGAAGCTTCAACTAGATTCCCTCTGTTACGAAGATCCTTTGCTGACGCAACAAGAAGTCTGCCTCGTAATTCTTCTCATCAGACCTCTTATCTCATAAATGACAGTTTTATTTCAGCTCCTTCAGCTCAGCCTTCACAATGTACATCATATAAAAAAACAATTTTTATTCCTCAACATACTTACAGACAATCATCAAATTCTGGATATGATAGGCCAGCCCATCAAGCAATTGTTGAGAACCCTCCTTCTTCCCTTCCAAATGGGTGTGCTTTACTGGGGAATGATAACATCTCTAATAATGATAATTTCTGCGAACTTATGATATCAATGTTAATTAACATGATTTCCCGTTACAGTGACGCAGAACTTCCCCTCAGTTTACGTCATAAACTTACTCAGCTTACTTCAATAACTAGCAACATTCACAATTCTACAATGGAATTGTCGGAGCATCAAACATAAAAAGAATGAACCTATCTTTCTTATTAACAAATTTAGTCCATCTGTTCTTGCCATCCAGGAGATGTGGCTTAGACCTGACTCCCAATTTAGGATCTCAGGTTATTCATGTCTTCGGGATGATAGGAGCGATGGACATGCTGGTTCCTCTATTCTGATCTCAAAAAAAATTACATATTCTTCTATACCTCTTCCTTCCCACAGCTCCTCGATTAATGCTGTTGCAGTCAAGGCTCTAAACATATCTTTTCTGTCTGTATACATTCCTGATCCTAATGTTACCATCTTAAATGAACTTTTTAATCTTATTTCTTGTCTAACTCCCCCTGTTGTTATCATGGGAGATTTTAATATTTACCATACTTCATGGGACTCACATCACTGCGATTCTCTATCATCTACGTTTTTAGATTTATATGTTTCCATTTAAAGGTAGTTACAACATGTTTAAAAAAGATGATAACTTAATAATTGTTACAAGTACGAGTAAAACACTAATATAAAACAAACAAACACAATAAGACAATACGAAATATGAAAATTAAAAATATATAAAAATAACAACATTTATATCGAGTTTATATAAAGTTATGGTATAATTCTTACTATGAGTTATTAAATAGATTGACAATTTTGGCTCTAAAAGATTTTATACTATCGCTAAATAAGTCAATAGTCTTATCTTTAAGGACACATTCGTTATACAATCTGCTTATTCTCGGTATAAGAGAGTGATGAACAAGATTAGTTTTATACAATTTGTGTTTGAGTAAAGGAATCGAAGAACGCGGTACACGGCAGGGAACTTTGAATCTATAGTCCCATTTGTAAGCTTGTACAAAAAAACTAAATCATATAGTTTACGTCTGTCCGATAGTGAGTTTAATTTTAGTTTTAGGAGACGAGTGGAATAGGATTCCATATGATTACCACTAGAACAATATTGAGTGAATCGTCTTTGAATGCTTTCTATACGATCTTTGTGTATTTGATAATTAGGGCTCCATATGATGGTGCCGTACTCTAATTTACTTCTAACTAAGGAAGTGTAAAGAAGTTTTTTCGTTTTGATTTTTTTTAAAACATTTGGAATTCCTGTATAAAAACCCGAGCATTTTGAGTGCCGATCTACAAATATTTTCAATGTCTGAAATGGATTATTGTTCAACGTTTATTGGGTTTCTGATGCAGTATGCTTACGCGTAAAGTTGATATATGAACATTTAGAAGCGTTGAGATCCATGCCATTTAACTTGCTCTAACGAGCAATTCTATTGACATCTTCTTGTAGAGATTGTGCATCATGATCGTTAAGAATTGCTTTTGCGAGTTTCAGATCGTCCGCAAAGATGAAACATTTTGAATTATGTACACAATTAGTTGGATCATTTACGAAAATATTAAATAATAAAGGTCCTAATATGGATCCCTGAGGTACTCCCGAGGTGCACCCATATTTCTGAGAAAAGTGGCCTCTGATCAGTACGTATGAAAATCTGTCTTTTAAATATGAAGCAAACCACGAAAGTAATGGCCCTCCGATTCCGAACGATGATAGTTTCGCTATTAACAACTGGTGATTCACCCTGTCGAAGGCTTTGGAGAAATCAGTGTAGATAGCATCTACTTGAAAACGTGAGTCGACGTAGGGTGTTATATAATTCAAAAAACATGAAAGGTTTGTGACAGTA